CTAGAGAACATACGTTTTCTGCTGATGGCCTTAAATGCTCGTTATAGACTAGTCTCAATACTTTTCGATGATTTCGCTTGCATATACAATTTTCATCAATAGATTTGATACGCACGGGCATGCTATACGTTTAAACAATTTCTAGAGCAAAGTAAGCTGGTTACAAACAAGTTGACAGTCTCGTTTAGAATCATCATTTTGTATAATTTCTATTGTCGATACAATGACCATGTCAGCAAATACAATTGCTGGCTGACGTTTTTCAAACTAATTTACACACTGAATTGTCAACGGATTTTCCGTTATTTCCTGATCATGACAAGGAGCACACGGGGCTGTGACCGGTCGGAAGGGGACACACCTTTGCGGCACCTGATTCCATCTCTAATGTTTAAGATGTCCGTGTTTGCTCTCCCCCTGATTTGCTTTGTTTATTGGACTTACTGTTCGTTATTTTCATATATTTTATGCACTGAAGCTTCCAAAAATTAATTCTTTTTTTATTTTTATCGTATATTGTTCCAAATATGAAGAAAGGAGTATATATGATAAGAGCCAATTTTGGCCCCCTAAAAATCAACATTTTAGAATGACGTTCAAATATGTTTAATTGATATTTATTTTGTAGAAGAGATTATATTAGAAATATTTCCAATATATTTTTCACATTTATATGCACTCACTAGCAGTAAATGACATGAGAAATAATGCTATTTTTGCTATCTAACAAAAAAGCCAAAAATATGCCTTTTTCTTGATGCTTTTTCTTATGGGAAACATAGAGCGCAGTGTAGAACATACGTAATTTTTCTTTCACTAATTAGTATTAGATAGATACATCTTTGGTAAAAATATAAATCTTGTTCTAGGTTGCACTCTATATTTTCTGGGAGGAAAACTGCTTGAAAATAAGCAGTTTTATACAAAATATGCTAAAATGGCGGGAAAACGTTATATTTATGATGTCATATTTCTAAAATAAGGGCATTTTGATCAAAATGAACATGACAAATAAAGGTCGCATATATAGCTGTACAAATTAAAGCTAAATATAAAGTACAATTAAGATATTCATTTTAAGGGGCCAATTGAGACACTTACCATATATCGCTCTTAGTAATCAGTTATATTTGGTAATATTTCCATTTCTAATTTTTTTCTCTGTGAGAACTCTTTGAAAGTTGTCGGAGTTTATTTCTTGATAATTCTGCCGGAATGTAAATTAGGCAGGTCGATAGGTCAGGAGCTAAGGAGGCCTAATACGCATGCAAATCCCGTGCGCATCTGTCTCTGTGTCTGACGCTAAGGAGACCAAATATGCATGTAAATCTCGTGCGGCTGCCTATGTGTTTGACGTCAGTGGGCGAGGACTATTGAAATTGGCATGGAAGTCCTCGTGTGATTATAGTCTATGTCTACATTTTTAAAGTCTAAATCTACAATTTTATTTCACAATGAAATGGAAATATAAGGAATCACTGTCTAGTTTTGAGAGTATGCCAGGGACATCAACAATAGTGGGAAACATCGGATAATTTAAGCATAACGGGCTTCGCCCGTTATGCAAATTATCCCATGTTTCCCACTATTGTTGATGCCCTGGCATACTCTCAAAACTAGACAGTGATTCCTTAAATCATACTTAGAAACGTCTTCCCGCTCTTTATCTATTTGCTTATTGTTATGATAAATTGATATATTCCTGTTTACCTAATTGTTTACTTTCAATATAGTTCACAAAGTAAACAATGCTTGACCTTGATATTAAGTGCACATTAGGATCTTACTTAACGTACATGTGCCTACTAATGACCTATTTAATGTGAACATATTCATTTGAAGGTAATTACAAACCGTAAATGTGGTAAACAAAGTGTTACGCAAGTAACATAGGGTTACATTTAGTATATAGTGTCAAGTATTTAAATCAAACTATTAATATGTTGGTTATAGACTACTGATTAGCATATTTTCGTTTGACTCATATCATAAGCGTTTAATGATTAATCAGCCAAGAGAAGAAAAATGCCGTATTAATTATACGTTTCGGATTTATTTTTGACACACGCTTGATTACTTTTATTTTATTTTATCAGTATTTTTTTTTGGTTGAAAAAAAACTTAAGATTCCTGATCACAGTGTACGCTATTGAATGCGCCATTAAAGAAGTATATACATGTAGATAAATGCTTGTATGAAAAAACTCAAATTAATAACGCACTTTAAACCTAGGGAAAATATCGCAATTACAGCATATTTCTTAAGGATCTGGATAAAACAGGGTTTGACGAATAACTTTCAAGATAATCAATAGCATCAATAGCTATGACTATGTTGGCATATTTCTGCCATTACTTTTAAAAATTTTACGTCGACTTATCAGATGTGTCAGTCGACTTGTCAGATGTGTATGTCGACTTGTCATATGTGTATGTCAGACGTTTAATTCGACTTTTCAGATGTGTTTGTCGATTTCTTAGATGTGTTTGTCAACTTGTCAGATGTCTTGATTTGTCATATGTGTATGTCGTCTCGTCATATGTGTTTGTCAGATGTGTATTGACATGTCAGATGTGTTTGTCGACTTGTCAGATGTGTAAGTCAGATATGTATGTCGAATTGTCAGATGTGTTTGTCGACTTGTCAGATGTGTAAGTCGGAAGTGTTAATTTGTCAGAAGTGTATGTCGACTCATCATATGTGTATGTTGACTTGTCAGATGTGTTTGTTGACTTGTCAGATGTGTTTGTTGACTTGTGAGATGTGTAAGTCAGATGTGTATGTCGACTTGTCAGATGTGTATATTGACTTGTCAGATGTGTATGTCGACTCGTCATGTATGTCGACTTGTCAGATGTGTATGCTGAATTGTCAGGTGTGTGTATTGTATGTCGACTTGTCAGATATGCACGTCTACTTGTCGGATATGTACGTCTTATTGTCAGATGTCAGTCAGCATGTCAATTTTTTAACTTGTCAGATTATACTCGTCATGACTAAGTACCGGTATCTTGTTATAAATTAAACCGTGTTTATATCAGTCTTTATTTGTCTTCCTACAAACAGACATAATTATCCGACAAGTTAACATGCATACCTGTGAGTCTACATTATTTTAACATGTCGACTTGATAGATGTTGATTTGTCAGATAAAGTTGTCGACACTTACAAGAAGACTTGTCAGAAAATAAGAATTTTTAGATGTAATTTCGACATTTTAGATAAAGATGTGAACTTCCAAGGACTCTATGGAAACTTGTCAGATTTTTTTGTCGACCTGTCAGAAAAATGAATAAAGGATGTTTCATCTGTAGTTTTCAGCATATAAGTCAACGAAGTGTTACAATATGACAACTTGACATAAATATTTGACAATTAAACTGACATTGACTGCACACGGTAGCATAGTGGTTAGGCAATCGCTTCCTGATCAGGAGGTTCTGGTTCGATTTTTTTCGTCGCATCAAATCTAAGATATAAAAATAGGTAGTGACTTATTCGCCCGACACCAGAAGTGAAAATCACAGTTCTAGATCCAAATTTGAAGCCGTTCAGTGGCACACATCTAATGTGAGAGAAAAAAAAAAGCTCGAAATGGGACATAAAACAGCATAAAATCAATCAATCGAATCACATCTAATGAATAATCTCAGCGAGATGGGTAGAGACTGAAAATTTGGACTGACGTCTACTACCCATCTCAGACCATTCCCACACAACGTGATTCGGGGTTTACTTCGGCAGCTCGTTTCAATAAATACAGGCTGAAATGAATTAGCTGTCCGCCTCAACTTTTTCCTTTGAACATCCCTTAAAGTCTCTATCACTATAAAACTTTCCTTTCTCACCTTTAAAAGGTTTAAATCCAACAAAATATAAAGTTGTTTATTTTTCCTGACAGCATGATGGCTGTTTGCTATTCATTTAAACCTTCAGTACTGAAGAGTTCCACAATAATCTGTTTCAAATAATTCATTCTACTACTATTTCTTATAAGAATGATCTATAGTATGAATTATTTGAAACAGATTATTGTGGAACTCTTCAGCACTGAAGGTTTAAATGAATAGCAAACAGCCATCATGCTGTCAGGAAAAATAAACAACTTTATATTTTGTTGGATTTAAATCATTTAAGGGTGAGAAAGGAAAGTTTTATAGTGATAGAGACTTTAAGGGATGTTCAAAGGAAAAAGTTGAGGCGGACAGCTAATTCATTTCAGCCTGTATTTATTGAAACGAGCTGCCGAAGTTGGGGCAAAAAACCCCGAATCACGTTGTGTGGGAATGGTCTGAGATGGGTAGTAGACGTCAGTCCAAATTTTCAGTCTCTACCCATCTCGCTGAGATTACTAATGAATAGCGGCAGATCTTTTTCACCTTCCTTTGACTTATTGCAAGTACACAGACCATACATATTTCACTAAGACAGGTTATGACATACTCAGATAACTCATCTTTGCCGAGATGATAACAATGTTGATTTACCGCTCTACTGATGGCAATATTATGTAGCTATTTTTGGAAGTTCTGATACGTAGAGAAAACAATCAATATTTTCCCAGTAATACCCGACAGTTGGCAATATCATTTTTATAATGACAGGTGAGTTTGTCTTGCTTTCTTTCATAATTTTTAAATCGCTCTTTATTAGAGAAAGTCTTCTTGCGAAACACGTTAATTAGAGTGTATTCTTAATATGATTAGGGGACCCTTGTTAGGCTAGAATACTGTAAGTTTTGACTAGTAATATACATTTAGGGGGAGGGGTACACATTTGTTTACATTTTGTATTGTTTAAAGAAGCAAAAAAGTAATGTATTTGAATAAAATATTCCGATATCGGAATGTAACGCTGTAATCCTCGTTTGAAATGTATTTAAACAATTTGAAGTCGTCTCTTATGTGATATAATCTGGACGACGTGAAATAAATTAATCGTATCAAATGCAACTTATTTTTTCACCAAAATTTTCAAGATTGTCTTTGCCCTACAGAATATCGCTATATTACGTCTATGGCACGCCAAATTCACAAAAATGAGATAATCATAGTTTCACAATTGATAAACTAGGTTTATCGACTGTAAACTATAGTTTACAAACCGTAAACTATAGTTAACGATTCGTTAAGTATAGTATAGTTAACGATTCGTTAAGTATAGTTTTCATCTGTAAAACTATATTTAACGGTTGTTAACTATAGTTTACGAATGCTAATCTAAGTTTATCTGTCTGTAATAAGCGTTAACAATAGATTATGTTGATAAACATAGATTCACGTTTGTAAACTTAGTTTACAATCGTAAATATAGTTAAGAGTTCTATCATAGTTTCACAAATCGTGAAACTATATTTATCAGATCGTTAACTATAGTTAACGGTTTGTAAACTATAGTTTACAAATCGTGAAACTGTATTTATCAGATAATCTATGTTTTGCAATCGCAAATGATTGTTTTCGGTGTTAAATATAGTTTACGGTTGTGAAACATAGATTATCGCATTAACTATGGTTTACAGATGTGAAATATAGATTAACGTTGTTAACTATAGTTTACGGTTTGTAAACTATAGTTTACAACCGATAAACCTAGTTTATCGATTGTGAAACTATGATTATCTCATTTTTGTGAATTTGGCGTGCCATATACGTCTCCATTCATCGTTACGGATGATATGAAAAGAACCTTTGACCGTGACGGCTACATTATTATACGGTAATCTTGACCGAGTAACTTCTGCAAATGCATTCACTTAAATTTGACAAATTCGTGAGAAAGATTTTTCCAGTAAAATAGGTAATCCTTTATATATTCCTATGTTTTACATTTAGAAATTTGCTCTCTCAAAGTGAAGTGGAAAAGGCAACAAAAGTAGTGGAATGCAACGAAACAATGAAAAGGTTCAAGTTTGGCGTAAGTCTTTTTATAAAGCAATTTAAATACTTCTTTGTATGAAGTGCAAATGATAAAGCCTTCGATGTCTCTACGTCTTCTCTAGGTCAAAGATACGCATGGAAATGAAAGCGCCCAAATTACATGGAATCAACCCGGAAATGATGTCACGGGGCTTATTGCAAGATGTGACAAAGTTTCTGGGACAGCTGAAAAGGTTTGGTCCCTGTTACCCATCAATCACCATGCACATGTATACATAAGCACACATTCTTGTGAAATAATGAATTTTTATTGAACCGATTAATTTAGCAGATGGAATATTTACACTTTAAAATGTACGGTAAAGTGTATCTATATCTAGCTTTTAGGAGGGGAATGTTACCATTACCATAGCAAAGTTGTTTTGAAAGATCCTTTGGCAGGTGGAGAAAGGGCCTGGCATCAAGATTATGGGTATGTACAACAATTAAAAAGTATAACATATATAAGTTTAATTATTTTATGCGAAAACAGAAAAGTTGATAATTCTGAAGGCGTTGGTATGCTCATCAGAGGATAGAGAGGAAAACAAAATATTTCTCTTTTTCAGCTAAAAAAAATGGGGGGCGGGAATATATGCATTTTAATAAATAAAACATTTATTCCAGGTACTGGTACCAAAATGGTTGTCTGTTTCCAGACATGCTGACTGTGTTTATCACTCTCGACAAGACTGACCAGTCCAATGGGTGTTTGCAGGTAGATTTTTAACTACCTATATAATTACTTTAATTGAATTAATTTGACATTGACACTTAAAAGTTAATTTCTATAATTTTATGAAAAAGAATTGATATACCATCATAACAGAGATTGTAGCATAAATCAGCAGTTCGAGCACATGAATGTGAAATTATAAGCTGTCTTTCCTGATAAACATACGCGTCTTGGATCATAGAAGAAATAAAATATTTCCTCTTTCATATTCTAAAATTCATTAAATTCTTCATTAATGATTGACATCAAGCATTTATTGAAAACATTGTGTTACAAAGTGAAATTACATTTACATATATCAACTATAGTTGTATCTTTGAATTGTGTAAACTATTTAGCAAAATAATCAATATAACAATAGGTCATTTTGAATCATAAAATCATCACATGCAAGGAAAAGTTAATCACACAATTATAATATTCATTTGATTTTGTGGTGTCTTATCAGATTTAATATCGTCCTTATATTAATTTATATTATATTATGTAAGTTTTTGTTCGACGAAGCTTCTAAGGGGGTCTCACCAATGTGGGCGTATCGAGCATACTCTAGTTGGTGCTGAAACTGGCGCGAAAATGGAGAGAGTCAACGAGTTATTGAAAAAGTGTCCACTTGATTTCATAGAAACGGAACCAGGTAATATTTATACTGTATGTCAACTACTTTTTTAAAACATATCTACTTACATTAAATGACGTCATTTTCTATTCTCCGAAAAAAATTGTTGAATGTTCTGGAAAAAAGGAAATGGTTTTAAATGAATAATTAAGGTATTATATATACTTTATTTATTTTACTACAAATAATAGGTAAGTCACATTTAATATAAGGGAGTGATTGTCTATCGAAAAAGATTCGTGAAGTGTAACATAAGCGCCGTCTTTTGATCTATATGCTTCCTGTGACGATGCTATTTGCGTCATTTGTTACTAAATACGGGGTAGTAGAGGGAATGAAGGGCCATACACTAGACATATCTCTAGTGTTTCCGTCCCTGTGGTATTTTTTGTGTGCGTAATAATTGAGTCGCTAACAATTATACAATCCACTCTGCTTTCTTCGATAAAGATCTACAGGAGTCTCTAAACTTCATGTTACGTTGTCTGTTAATTGATCAATGGATGGGTAACGTCAGATACCACGTGGGCAATTTTCAAACTTTTCCATCGTGCTTTCTGTCGACTTTAAAATCATGTATAAATATATATCTTTTTAAAACAATTTTGAGAATTTTATTGTTTATCTAGCAGTAATTTTTGTAAGAATTTTTAGATACCACTTGGGCAATTTTCAAACTTTTCCGTGGTGCTTTCTGAATACTTTAAAATCATAATTTGGCACCATGATTTCACTGTTTTAATATGTACCGGTCTTGTAGAGTAGGCTTCCCCCCTTAAAATCTTTTCCCGCGGAAAACTGGCTCTAGAGTAGACTTTCCCCCCGAAAAACTGGCTCTAGAGTAGGCTTTCCCCCCAGGGAAACTGGCTCCAGAGTAGGATTTTCCCTACGGAAATCCCACACCAGAGTCAATTTTCCGGGGGCGAAATCCTATTCTGTATAGTGGTTATAGAGTGCGATTTTCCCCAGAATCAATCCCCCCCATGGAAGTATGATTTAAGGACAGATGAAACAAACAAACCTTGAAAATTACAATTTAAGTCCTGTTTTAATACATAAATGAAAGTTAAATTTTTCATTAAAAGTTTCACAAAAATGGGATTTCAGGAGATTTAATATGACAATAAAATTGTATAGATTACTAAGTATGGTTACAGAAAGGTGGAAATTTGAACATCATAGTAAGTTTACAACTTTTTTTTTATATTTTATAAAGTTTATTATTGTAATCATTTACAAGCAAAATAGGTCCTAAATATATATCAATCTAGACATCCATTTTTGTTTGTTTCATTATATTTTGAGAATATTTACATTTCATTTGAAAGCTAAATATTTTGATTGAGATTTCATGATTTGCCTTACAACATAAGTAGAAAAAACCCACTCATTTACCTTTTAAAAATCAGTTTGTCGTTTATCTTTTTTTCAAAAAAAAATATTGCAGCTGTGGTCTGTATTGACTCTATAACGAGGGGGGATCCTACTCTGAGAAAGAAAGAGGGGGGATTTGGCTCTGGTGTGATATTTCCCCTCGGAGGGAAATCCTACTCTAGAGTACGATTTCCGTGGGGAAAGCTGGCTATGGGGGAAATCCTACTCTACAACACCGGTATATCAAACTGAAATTATATCTGATAGTCTCTTTGCGAGGGGATGTTCCACTTTGTGGTGCTATTTTTCTACATTTTTAAGATACGTTTTCTTTCTTCATTTTCCATAACCTTTTCTCAGGCGATGGCGTGTTCTTCCACTGCAATCTGCTCCATATGAGTGCTGTTAATGCGAGTAACAGGAGAAGGCTAGCTTTCCTTGTAGCTTACAACAAAGCTTCAAATAACCCAGTAAAAGAACACCACCATCCGCAGTATACACCACTGAAAAAGGTAGCGTAAGCAAGTATTTACTGTATCTTGATAGTCCATGTTCTGTACAAAAGTAGACTTGGAGTCTTGGAATGAATTCTATCTCAAGAATGGTAACCTTTAAAATGTGTTTACCTCCTGTTTAAAAGTTAAAATATCAGATTTTCACAGAATAAGATACGTTGCCTATACGCATAAAGCGTATAACCTCGAAAAGACACTTAATTATTTACCTTTAAAAAATATTAAAAAAGAGTACATATGATGTTTTCTACTCCATGGCACTTGATCGTACCTCTGTTGTTTTCAGAGGATCGTGTTTGCTGTACTTGTATTGTTCCTATGGATGTTTTGGCTTGATTACTTTTCATTAATTTCGTTTTTCATTTCAACTAAAAAGAATCTTGCAGTGGGCGTGAAATTCTTGTGAAACCACTTTTTTATGTTTTTGTTAAGCGAAATATCTGCGATCATTAATGATTCTTTTCATGTGTTAAAGACTGCTCGCCTATATTCTTTTTAAGATGCTAATAAAAAAGACATAAGTATAGTTTCATTTCATGCATATTGTGACCATTTTTGATGAATTTACTATATGAAAATTATATCCAAGTATCTTGTTCTCTTCTACATTTCAAGGTCCCTGATGTTGAATTGGAACACTGCGACGTTTTAGACGATATGAATGGAAAGAGTTTCCTTGATATGGAAAACTCAAAGACTTTAAAAGATCAAACCTCATTTAAGAAAAGACAATGATTTTTTGACAGAAAATATATAACAATGACATCATAAGGTTATTTAAATTTGCATGTATAAAACAATAATTTATTTTAAAAGTGAATAATAAATCAAATAATTCTTCATTTTTGGAATTCCTTTTTGGTAACAAATAAAACTTCAGTTATTGTGGATTTTACAATGACTGTACGTGAATAATATTTTCTTTTAAAAAATGCAAATGTTTAAAATACAAAATTTCACCCGGCATGTTAAAACTTGAAGATGAAAAAAATCTTTTTAAAAAAGTTTTAAAATGCATTGTTTCATACTTTTTTAAAAATTAGATAGACAGTTTCTAACTTCTTTCCCTGATTGTATCAAGGATTTCTACAACGACAAAAAAGAAAGAAAATACTAGTAGTGTGGTATTTGTGAAGCCTAATTTGTTTAAGTTGTCGTGACGTCAGTTTGAAACATTTAAACATAAATATGTGTAAAACGAAAAAAAAATAATGTCCTCAACTTATGATCTAAAAATAGGACGATAGTAACTAACACAACCATATTCATTAAGAGCAATAATCTTTTTCTCTGCATAATAAGGCAATGAACTTGTCCAACAATCGGTTGAAAAAAAATGGCGGGAACGTGATATGAACGAACATTGTCAATTTAACCAGGATATGACCTATAAACAACTGTGTCCCTGTACTACAATTAGTGGCGTTACCCAAATTATTATGCCTTATTGGTCAATTTTATATACATCCGCTTATGAAGGTTTTCTATATATGGCAAATCTGACCAAATTCAAATTGAAAGGTCTAAAGTTTATGGTTTTCATAAGTTATTATCTTTATCTATGATTTTCTCTCGCAGTGAGTTCCTGATATGTTTGCTTCATAGTTCAGGAAATTCCAAAGTATTCATGAATTAAACAAGACTTTGAACTTTAATTTTACATCAAAATGAAATATTAATATTTTTCATGACCTCTTTGAATGTTTGTGTTCAATACATGTAGATGGCCAGAGAAAAATGTTAAGATACACTAGATATTCCAAATGCAATATATGTTCTTAAATCTTTTGGACATAAAAGCGTTAGGACTTCTTTTCATAGCACATTAAAATAAACTCATTTCTATGAAATAATTTTGTACAATAGTAAAATCTGACACTGCTTGAATGTATCTTTGTGTAGATTAGTTTCTTTTAAGATACATGTATGTATCTCTAAAAGTGTTTTAGGCTATATAGATTCCCTGTGTAGGTCTTGACGTCTAGAGTTATTTTCTTACTGATTGTATGTACATAGTTTCACGTTCCTCACGAGAATCTTTCACTCATATGGAGACGTCACTACTTGCCTGTTGAGAGCTGCAAATTTTTGTCCTATACTTGGCACTTATGGCCATTCAGCAGTGTGGGATTTTTTTCATGTCAGTACCTACTACGATACGAGAACTTGGTCAATACGGTCTAATCTGAAGGACTGGTCTCCACGTCTCATAGTGGCATTGGAAACTACGACGTAAGAATCAACTTCTTACAGGTACCTGGCGACCCTACCGCAGATGCTCTAACCACTGCTCCACACGGGCAAGTATTTAGTCTTTGAAGTCTATTCATTGTTCTTTTGTTTGTCATTAATGTTAGCCCACTAAGGTGTAGTAGTTGGCCCACTGGCGAAGTGGCTTGAGTGTTTGAACTAGAGTATTGAAATAAGGAGTTGATCCCAACTTCGTGGACGCGAATCACACCGCAGGACGTGAAGACTGGTCCCTCCGATAAATCGATGTGCAGTGTCACAATAGGTACCGTACCGGCATTTAAAAGGTTCCCTCAATGCTTAAAGGCCATTTGTGCTGAGAGCAGGCCCCAGGATCATGAAGCATCTTAAGCTTAAGTCAAAATCTACGTGCTGTACTTACTAGTTGTGGATGTCAAGCAGATCAAAATTAAAATCTGTTTCAACATTGATTCACTAAAGTGTTGTTTTTTTTCTTTTCTTTATTTTTTTTTTTTTTTTACAAATTACTAGTATGAGATAAATTCAGTAATTAATTAATGTTTTACAGGCAATTGAAAATTTGACTTAAGTCTAAGTCTGTTTCATGATCCTGGGGCCTGGTCTAAATTTGCAACCATCTAAGGACAAACAGTTGTGTCTTAATATGAGTGAAAATTTTCGAGGGTACATTGATCAAAACTTACCAAACAAAATAAGTTTTGGTAGTTCGTTACCCTTAAAAGTTCTTATTGTTTTGTGATCTAACCATTGTCTTGTTATCTTCTCGAAGGGATTGTACTCTAATTACTTTTCATATGTCTTAAAAGCTTTCAATCGCTATTGTATTTAGGCACTCAGATCCAGATACTTAATTAGGTCTTGAAGTATGATACCCTCCATAGGTCTTATTATACCCCCCACCCTCCCCGCTTGAAAAGTGGGAGGATATACTGTAATCGGTATCTCCGTCCATGCGTCTGTCTGTCCGTCCATCTGTCCGTCCGTCTGTCTATTATGCTTTGGGGTACCCGTCTCTTATCCGCTACTCCTCTTATACCACTGAGTGACATTTAATGAAACTTTCACAGAATCTTTATTACATATTGCCATTGTGCACCTCCTATTTTACTTTTTGATCCGACACATATTTTGGGTTTCTCGGCCACAGCAAAACATGGACTTTGCCATTATAACCATATGGGAGGCGGGGGGTATCATTTAGTGAGCTCATTGCTCACAGTACCTCTAGTATTAGTGAGGGTATCATTTTTGCTCTTGTCGTCAAGATATCCTTAGTCTTTGCAGTCTAGCTACTCTCCTTATGTTGTCTATATCTTGAAGTTAAGTTACCCTCCATAATAATTTTGTCTGGGTATTGTAGTCTGATTATCATAAACATTTTTTGTAGTCTAGATCCCATACCTACATGTCGGTCTTAAAATCTATCTAACCGCTTTGTTCTTAAATACTAATTTCTTGGAACTAATAATCTCAGCTTTGTGATCTTGTACCCTTAATAAGGTTCAGTACAATTCTCATAATTCCTAGTCCTGTAGTCTACTCTGGGTCGGTCTTGTAACCATTTGTAAAACTATAATTTTGTAGTACCCTTTCAGGTACTGTAGTTTTATACCTTCAAAATTTTTGTAGTTTCACTTACTTGCTTTGTTCAAAAACATGGTCTTAGTACCATACCAAGGTTATGTAAGTTAGTTCATCTTTGTTTAGAATTTCAGCTTTCTTTATTGTACCGTATAAGTGGAAATTTTAGCGAGACGCAAATTTAGCGATTTGTTCTGAAAATATGGTGTTTTATTTTTAGCGAGAAGTAATTTTAGCGATTTTAAAATGCTTACTAAAGAAGCTATTACCGTGGCACAATTTGAATAAAGTTTATTTTTAGCGATATTTAATTTTAGCGATCTCAGAACCGTCGCTAATAATGCGAAAATTAAATCCTCGCTAAAAATTCTACTTATACGGTATGTTTTCTTTAATTTCATACATCAAATTTCAAGGTACTTGTGTTGAACAATTATATATACTTTGGTTTTATTAATTTTCGTTGGCATCAATTTTTGTGGATTTTGTAAAACAGACGTTTTCGAGGATTCGTAATTTCGTAAACAAAAGCATTGCTCATACACATGAATTACATATTTCTTACTTCAATGAACATTTAAATTCGTGGATCTGCTCGAAAATTGGTGCTCAACGAATATTTATGAAACCACAGAAGTATAATTATGTTACTGAAGAGTTATCCATGCAACCGTCCTTCAATCAAATATAATATTTAGATGATCTATTGCTCATTTAAGGAAAAGCCAGTGGGTGCAAAATACTCAGACAGTACGACCGTAGAATGTGAGATTTTAGCTCATAAAATGTTCAAAGATTAAGCCCTGTCCAAAATAAAGTGTACTAATACCTTTCCTCTACGTTCCCGTTTGATTCATAATGGAATTCAGTGAAGAAGCTAATTGGGATATTGTTGTTTCAACTTACATTTTCAAGAATGCCTGAATCACAACTAGCAAATCTTCATACTTACAATGAAGATTGTGTCACAATGAATGAACATACCGTCATATATTCTGAAGTTGACATTAAATGCAAATAGAATGATTCTTGGTCAGCTATTTTTGGTCATACAGTTTGATTTGTATAAGTTAAATTACTCGTTAATTTTTGTGTTTTATTTTGGAGGTGAATAATAGAGTGCATAAGAAGTGAACTAAACTGAGAAATACTATTAAATTTATTCTTTTACATTTATTGATTTTAAATGAATATATATCATAGTTCAGTAACAAGCACTTTCTTTACGGGATAATTTTTTGTGTTATCTATATTCATTATATATGAAATATTTAAAAATCTTTTAGTTTTAATGTTTTAAAGCATGCAGACATTGATGGGTAAATATCAACTAAATTTTGAAATAAACATGATGAATTCACTTTTTCTATCAAAACTTCTCTTTATTTTTATATAGCAAGTCCAGATTATCAACTTGAACACGGTGTTGTTTTTTTTCGTCCTGATTCGATTAGAACATGCTCAACGTACGGACAATTTCCAAAAGGAGCAAGATATTGAAAAAAATAATGCTAAAATCTAATAAGCCGTTTCGTATAAAGGCAGCATTTCCCAATACATGTAATGTGATCGTTTGAATTACCTAATACACTTTTTTCATATAACTTGTTTGGACATCATTTTCACGCTGAATTGTCCAAATTTTTCTTGCGTTTAGCAGATCTAGACAAGGGTCAAACAGTGGGTGTAACTTACTACTTCATGACAGCTGATGTTTTACTAGTCCTTGTTTGCTTTGCTAACAATCTATATTGTTTCACAATCTTTATTTAATTGTATATTAATTCAGCTTGAGTATTGTTCAGGGTCTTCATAATACATTAAAAATATAAACATAGATATGTCAACATTCCTCAGATTCATTGACTGTTTGCAAATAAAGTCCTTTTTAGGTCGAATGTTGACTTATTTTGACACTAAATTGTCTTCCGATTTTCCCGGTTACATGGTCATAATAAGGAGAACATGGTGCGTGTGACCGGTCAACAGTAGATGCTTATACTCACTGCTTTATTGCACTTGATTCCACCTATGTTTCTATATTTTCAGAAATCTGTGTTGGCTTAACATAATGTGTATGTGGGTATATGGAAATGAAGATTTTGTCTGTTACGCTTTGGTACCCATCTCTTATCCGAAACTCCTCTTATACCAATGAATGAAACTGATGAAACTTTCAGAGAATATTTATTACATAATGCCATTAAGCACCTCCTATTTTAATTTTTGATCCGACACATATTTGGGTGTCCCAATACAAAATATGACAATGTCATTATATTTATATGGGAGGCGGGGCGAATCATTTAGTGAGCTCATTGCTCACATTACCTCTATATTTTTGAGCATGATTATTCTTTCTTATATCCTCTTTCCACGAATAAGACAGAAAAGATGTTTTGTAACTTTTACGAATAGAGATTTAATTTCATATCAATAAATTGATATAGATCTACTATAATTATATCTTAACCTGGATATTTTTTTTGACGAACAGATTATGCAAAATTCGACGATTGTATTATTTTCTCTCATATTGTTATTTTTTTTTTTTCATATTTAAATTATTTTGTTTTCTTTATCATTATATTTCTTATATAATTGTATGTATTTTAGGATTTTAAAAATCTTTTCTGTACGTAATTAGTTTTTATATGCTAAAAATCATTTTCTGTTGTTAAGTTGGTTTTTCAGTCTTTTAGTTCTATTTTCAAATAAACATTTTCCATTATTATTTGTATCATTATTGTTTTCCATTAAATTACATTTTTAAAGAGATTTAATGGTTTATATTTTGCAAATTAATGTGATTTTAAAAAAAGTTTTTTTTGTCCTAATTTTAACTTAAGGTTTCCCACCTCACAGTTTTAATGGTTCAAAGTAAAAAAAATGCATTTATTTTCATTTAATATAGTGACACTTTAAATTTACCAATTATAGCAAAAAAATAATAGGTCTCCATATTATTTAAGATGGGAGACAAAAATAAACAGAAATATAATATTATGTCAACATTATAAAAATCTTACATTTTTTGTAAACAGTGTTATAATAATTATGTAAAAACTGATTCAAATGCATAATTCTGATGCTGATTTTCATTTTAGGAAGTTCCAGAATACTTGATACTTGTATGATACTTCTGAATTGTGAATATCAGGGAAACTATTTAACATTAGAAGTACAAAAGAGAAAATGCCTAAATGAAGATACCCAGGTTGGAGTTATTTCCCTTGTCAACAATTTTAAAAGTTTGATTAATTGACTAAATAAAGAAAATATACATTTTAAAAAAAAAAATTATGAAACAATATTTATCACTACACCTTTTGAGAAACATTAAGGAATATTATTTTATTTTGTATGAATTTAAATTAATAACAGTTTTTGCAAAAACCTATGAAATCATAACTCCAATGGGTGGATTAGCACCACAAAATGTGATCATAAAACTTTTACAATTTTATTTTTAAAAATTGTATTCTTGCACAAACATGAGGGAATTAATAACAACAACAGCAAAAAAAACTAGTATTACCAATATTCAAAGATTTGGTAAACATTTTGGTGTGGTGAAGATTCAAGTCCGTCTTATCATGGCTTTTTTTGTGTTAGGATTCATGTGAGCCCACAATAAATAGTAAAATCTTTATTTCAAGAACAGAAAAATGGAATACTTGATAGTATTAACATTAAAATTTTTAACTAAATGTATGCATATAATACAATTAAGTCTGTTCAAATTAAGTTTCTTGTCATAAGATGAAGTCAGAGGGAGGGTTGAAATTTACAATATCAAACCTGCTAGGAAAAACCAAGCGAAAATTTCTTGAAGCCAGAATTAATATCTCATTTTACAAAAACAAAATCAAAATTGCTTACAATGGATATTGGGTTACAACGAAGCTAAAATTTCTTGAAGCCAGAATTTACACCTCAATTTACAAGAACAAAATTGCTTATAATAGATTTTTTTTACCATATTACTATAGCTAGCATCTACGATAATGGGTTACATGTCTCCTTTTAGGGCTTATTTTATAGATATAATGCGATAACTACTGTGGAATCATTTTAATTCAATATTGTCAATGGTTCGTTGCCATGAAGAATTTTTACTTGTTAGTAGGGACGTTATTTCATGTTGTTTATCGTTTATATGGCAGATTCAATAAATCAATATATTGAATAAAAAGAAACGTTCGTTTTGATATAAATTTGTAGCTTAGCCTGAAACACGAAGCCCATGAACATGGACAACGATTTTCCCACAGTTATTTATTTACTGTATTGAGGTGTTATGATCAATTTTAGCGAAGTATATTTTTAAAAAAATTAGATTGAATTCACACACACACACACAAATGAAATATGCTTTCGAGTCAAATTTAAAAAAAACTCCAATTATATTCTACAAGACAATAGCTCAAAGGTTGATTAAGCAACATTGATTTGACTTTTTTTTTTTAAAGTTACATGTAGTTACAACAAAGTTTTTTTGTTTTGAAAAATGGTTTTTGAATAATTTTGGTAACTTCAAAATATAATCCAGTGAGGAAATGATCAAATCTTTACCTTCCAAAAGTTCAAATCTTAATACTGGCTAATATCTAACAGGATGCTAGTTGTTCATTGCATAACAAATTGAATACATCATATTAAGTAGGCAACAGCAGTTTACTTGTAACATATTAGTGACTAAACAAAACTTAAAACTTAGAAAAGCGCTGCAATTTGACCTTTTTATCAATAAAAAGAAATGAATTAAAATAATACGATAATTGAGTCGGTAGTAATTCAGTATTTTTGCGGCAATACTATAAACTATTAATGGAGATCCAGACAAATGCCTTGAGGACAAGGCGAAGAGCTATTTCCGATTTAAAAGCAGGGCCTTGAAACCATTATCTCTTGTGAAACAGTTGCCTCTTTTTGCATTTTGCACTTTTTGATAAGTAGTGAAAATATGTATGCCAGATGCACTTGACATATTTAAATATAGAAGGAAAAAAACAAAAGAGACATAGTGTTGGTATTTGGAGCAGAAGAGAATCCTCCCATTTTTGAAGTGTTGGTGGTAGAACAGGACGCGTGGCGCACAAGATGGGAGCCGTACAATATTATCAGTACTACTCAATGTCCTATAAAGGAAGCGCGAAGTAATACATGTTAAGTAGCCATTTCTGGTTTTTCGGATTGTTGTATTATTATTGTAATATACACGATGAAGCGACATACCAGCAAATCTCCGGTTTACGCATTCACGTTTATTTTGTTAGCGGGCATTTTTGGAATAAATCAGTTTTTATGGTGTGACGCGATATTCTGAGGAAATGGTAAGTAGAGCAGATTCTGAAAGTCCTTTTTCTACATTATTTTTCATAACTTACATAAAAAAAACCCAGTGATATATAATTTCTTAAATTTTTGAAATTTAAATTGACACAGATAGTCATTATCGTTTTTTTTATATTTCACTAATTAATAAACCATACGTTTTAGGGAAAAAACAATTTATTTTATTTCTTTTCTGATGATTACATTTTGAAAAAAACTACATGTAACTATTTTGAATCGTTTGTTTATTATATTTACATGTGTGAGTGAACACGTGTTGTTGAATTTATCATTCATGTACATTTGATTATTTACTTGAAATTAAACTTAAAGTTTTTTCCGATAAATTTGGGATGTTCATTTGATTTTTTTTTTTTTAAAAAGAAGTTTATTTTTTTTCATGTTAAGGAAATAGAAATAAAAGTAAAAAAAAATCTATGAAATTTTCTTTCAGTTTTTGCGTGAATGATTTATCAGTCAAAAATTTAAATATATTGTATGCAATAATTTCATGGGACGAGTATTTGATTTTTAAAATTCACGTTTTTGGTTACCTAGTATTGTACTTTTTATTTGACAGAACAAACTTGTACCATTGAAGCATATATTCAAATAATTTAAATGTCGATCCACGTGACAAAACATCAATACAGTCAACATTAACAATATATGATTGTTAACATTACTTCGCATGAATCTATATACACTAAGTTACAAAATAATAATGGCTAATAAAGATCATTACAACTATTCTTTGAAAAATGCAAGCAGTTTCTTAAATATTTCATTTTTTTTCTCTTTTTTAGTTATTTTACCAGTTTTAAGTATCAACTTTGAAATTGCAAATAAAAAAAAAAGAACAAAACTTTAAAGCAAAATTGGTTTCCATAAAGCAATCATTTCATAGCTAAGTTGTCATGGCTACCTCTTTTTTTACTATCCATACCAGAGTGCGCACTCTTCAAATGCTTATTTAGTTTGCTTCCATGTATTGTATTAGTATTAGACGTTACAATACTGCATTGAAATAAATTCAACCTCCCTTTTTCTTAAAAGATCCAAGCCTTGAAGTTTTAAAATGTCCAGAATTATTATAATTTCTCTAAGAAAAAACATTTTTGTCCTCTAATTTGACCGCTATTAAATAGACTGCTAAAATTTTATAATCAAAACTTATTCATGTAGTACAATGCAGCAGAAAATTATTTGATAGAATGATTATGTGGTCACTTTCATACTTGTACAAATTAGAAGCATAGAAAGCCAAATGCAAAAGAATTAACTCTAGAAATTGGCGATTCTTTATATGGAACTTAATAATTCAAGACAAAAATACAGAATTAAAGAAGTTATATTTATCTATCTTAATGTTAGATCGTTTTTAATTTTTAATCACATTTTTTTTAAATTTAATATCATATATAAACATATAAAATTCAGACCATTTCACTTTCTTGTTTGACTCGACCAAGATTTGAACCAACCCCTTCCGGGGGTAAAAGGATGTATCTACCACTTAACCACAAATAGGTTCATGAACTGGATATATTGGTCAAAATTCTTTGTACTATACTAGATAATTATTTCTAGTTGTCAACAAGTGAACATCTACAAAGTGCTGGGTTATAATTGTTCGACATTTCTTATAGTGAGTACTTTTTTATAATAGACATGAGTTACAATCAACTGCAAATTATCCATTCTTAAGAAAAAAAATAAAATTAAAACAAAAATTCAATTAATAAAATAAAATTCATAAGTGAAATCGAGACCATATATATTGCGTTGTAATTTTTTCTCTTAATTATTATCTTTTATTGCTGAGCAAGATATAAACATTTGAAATTTATTTAATTATTTTTTTAAAGTTCTTCTAAAATTTTAATCATGAACATGAGTTGTGCAGAAATAACATATATGACAATGTCTTTGTTATACAAAGGATTACATCACTCCTCCATGGCACTTGATCCCACCTCTGATGTTTCGGAGGTCCGTGTTTGCTCTGCTCCTATTTTGTATTGTTTTATGGACTTTGATATTGAATACTGTTCGTTATCCCCATATCCTTTATCAAAGCTTTTTACTTGAATTTCCTAGAACAGTTTTGTCAAGAAAAAGAGTATCAAAGTAGTATCTTTAATTAAAAAAAAAAGAATCTTTCAAATTTTCAAGCAATAACACACACTTTGTATTACTACTTGCTTATAAGTCTGAAAGAGATATGAATTTTATGACACATATGTATATATACGCATGTATCATGGAATTGCTGTTGCCTAAAGTATATAAAACATTTTTTTTTAAATCCTCTTTTGTATCTGTGAAGTTCACTTTGAACCTGTTGTTTGTGTAAGAGACATTTAATTTTCGATTCTTCTAAAAGGCAGAGAAGAATGAAAAGGAAAACAATGCATTAATGGTACATTTTTGTTGGCAGTTGAAATTCTTTCTGTCATTGTTTCTTTTAGAAAAAAAGATTTGATTTTCCAACTGAACATGTAAATAACAATGTTCTAATAAATCACCATTCTAACTGTTGCAGATTAAATATTGTTTTTTTTTCTTTTTAAGGCACTGGTCCATTTGGTGTGGGTTTATCTTTTGTTAATGGGACTTCCTTCAGTGATGAGTGATTGCGATGCTTGCGTTAGAGAATATCGCCACATGTGCGTGGAAACATCGTGCTATCGATACAGGAGTAGCAGACCTTTCGATATTCGTTTTGTGTATCGATGCTTAACAATATGCTCAAATAAGAGACGATCATGTCGCCAAATTTGTCCTGCCGGAAGACTTTAATCGATTGCTTGTGAGCAGAAAGTGACTGCGTGAATTTCAATTGGCGATCGATTAAAATTGAAGTGACAAATAAACAAATTCAGATCTTGAAAATTCCACAAAATGAACCTTGGATTATTTGACGTTGATCTCATTCCATGTTGCACATATTCACAGGATTACCCCATCACCCACGTGACGGCCACGTGACGGGCTTTTGTATTCGTTTGACTCTCATTTTCCCTGTGACAGAAACCTCCTCCATCACTTGATTTACCCTCATTTTCCATGTGACTGAGACACTCTTCTTCAGTTTGCAGTAAAACCGGACACGTTAGTTATAGTGTTATGACACTGACAGTGCTCCCGGATATTCATTTCTATTTATTGAACTGCCAATGTTTCATTTTATCACTGCCATATATTTTAATTTAAACGTGTGCAGCATTTATGCGTAAACGTTAATTAAATATTTTAAAACTATTTTCCCTTACGTTCATTCTTAGCAGTAGTTTCATGCATATTTTATTTTTTTTCCATTTGTCCTTTAACTCGATATTTTTTTCGATATTCCCGCCAAAAACTTATTAATTGGGCATACAACATATGTGGTACTTCAAAGCTGTAAGGTTCGCGGGATTAATTATCGTCTAGGCCTGTTTATCATAGGTTCAAATGATGACAAATATCCTTTCCTCTCGCCATACGTTTTGTAGTCAAGTTGTATTTCAAAGAAATAATTCTTTTATTACAAAAAAAAAGATCTTATGAATATTCAGCGTAAAGATCATTCGAATACGAACTCGTACCCTTTACATAAAACACAGGATAGGCTTTCATAGCTAAAACAATCCTTCGTAGATGATGGTTTTAGTTGATATATACATGTAAATACAAACAAAAATCTCTTTCTGTTTGTTAGTAGGGGAATTAACGTTGAAACGATTGCAGAAAAAAAAACTCCCTTACGCAGACACTTTTTCTGCAACAGGTGTAATATCAATTCCCATATTAGCAACTGAAGACAACCTTTTATTTTGTAAGTTTAAAAAGTTGTAGCCAAAAATTATTGTAGAAAAAACATCAAAGATTTAATTAACAATAAAGTCTGATTAGAATAAGAGACTGAAACAATCAAAATTTAAAATTACAAACACACATAATTTTAACAAATATTCCTCAAAAATAGTTTATGCAATAAATAAATAAATATTTTTTTTAAAGTTAACTAATCAATAAATAGATTAATCAAAACAAACAAATAATTAAATATATTAGGTTTTAAATTTATATTTAAATCATGTAATTACATTATTTGATAATCAAATACAAATTGAATATTATGTTTTAAATTACAGATACTCACAGCAAGTGACGTCACTTTTATCGAATGTAGTGCTTTTGGAAGAATGATGTATAATTCGTTTTATAAATAGTTCTAACATAAGCAAAAAAAAAAAAAAAAAAACAACAACAAAAAAAAAAAAACAAACCAAAATTGATTCAAACATAAAAACAATGTAAACATGTGTAAAAGTTGTTATATAAAGAATCCTGTAAGATTTGTGGTTAGATATCGTTTTAGACAACTTTTGTGTTTTCTATCCCCTTGCCAAGGTCTGCGGAGTGAAAACAAACAACTTGTTTGAAGAAATCATATCTAACAACAAACCTCCAGAGATCCGTAACATATAGAGACAAAGTCATCCAACAGAGATCCCAGACACAAGAAAAACTTCCAAACGTGATATCATTGTTGTTTTAGATTTCAACAAAAATTGTTTAAAAGAACCTTTTTCTTCATCATAGTAAGAGTTTTTTTTTTCAAATCTAAAAGTTCGAAAGACACATTGAAAAAAAGACAATCTGTTGCAAAATTGTCATGAACATAAGCACCCGAAAAAACAACATGTCCATCAGACGAGTGATGTCCGGCCACTTTATGTCCTTGACTTCTCCTTTGTGGTCGTCAGCTGAAATATTGGAAGAATTATCTAAAGTATCCACCGCATTTCCGTCTTTGGATTTACAACAGGGGAGATGGATTCTTTTTACGCCTGCCAATTTCCCGATCCATCCTTCATGTACTCTGACCATCCACTGTGGAACAGGTTCCTCCTCCGATTTGTGGAAACAAATGAGTCCTAAAGTGGAGAGGACTACCACAAGTCCACCGACCACCAACGTGATGTTCAGATACGTTGCTGTGAAAATATCAAAACAGATACAAATAGAAACATGAAATTGTATTTTAAAAAAATATCAAATATATGGTTTTGTCTTTAATTAAACATGACGCAGAGATGAACGTTCCCGGTCCCTGTTTGACACTCATCACGAACCAAAATATATTTTTTATAATACATTATAGTCTCCCGAAGATCATCATCGCAAACCACGGAAAAAGTGTACGATCCTCTCCCATTCTGGCCGTGGTTGAACGAAGAGAGAATTTTCGTAGCCCATTAAAATATTGACAAATGCGAGGAAAGCATAGTCGGATGATAACCTTAATCGCGACCTTTCAATATCCAATCGCAGTGTACGGAATATTTCTTTTATACTGTTAATGTCAATTGTCGATTTTCAAATTGCGATGGAAACAAAACTTGCCACTGACTGAAAATGACGTCACAATAGAGGCGTAAATATTCAAGAATACGACACTTTTTGTGATCAAGCAGCCCCGGGTAGGAGAGAGCTTAATATGCGGACTCCGGACCGTAGCTTGAGACGATGCCTGAAGATGTAACGGTAGGAGACTTTAAGTTGCCACCTCGCGTCCCCACCCCCTGACTGTCTGTCTGTTCTACCAGTCTTTCTCACATGGTTTTCTCGCTATCAGATATTCAGCTGATGTTTGGAATTTTAGCGTATCTTGATAAGAATTATCATTTTATGTAAATCTTAGGATTTTTTGCATTTCTATTAAAAAGGCTTGTTGATATTGATCTGGATTTTTTGGGTGTGTGAGTTAATCTTAAAGAAGCTTTAAACCAGGTTTGTATTTTGTCCCGCTTCAATGATTTTTAATGGAATTAAGATTTTTAATTTGAAATGGAAACCAAATCGTACTTGTTCGATGGAGAGACAAGTATTGCTAAAGGCAATAATCTACGAATGCTTCTTTAATTGCAAAGAAAGGCAAATTACTAGTATTTCCGTTTTAAAAACTGAATAACATTATGTAAGTAAATAATATATAAATATTGCATGTAGTTGTGTGTAACATTGAAATTTTTCATTGTTACAATCAACTACATGCAATATCTATTATATTACACTGAATGTTTTATTTGTATACAAATTGTAATTTATTTATTGTTCAGGATAAACATCCTAAGGCATATTACAAAATGTACAATAATATTTATATAGAAAATGAACGGTTGTACATATGATGGAGAAAAAGTAACAATGATATTGTATGGCAGGATCATACAGCTGTCCTTTACAGATTTACAAATGCCACAAATTCAATATGCATGTAAAACTTACATATAACATACAGATAAATTATTGGCAGTTCCTTACTAGTATTTCAAAAGCTTTTAAAATATATTTTCCAAGATTACAGAGTGACATTATTAACACTAATAAGCTGTATAAATTTAAACACAGAGGGGTTACTCCCACATATGAGTATAAAATGATATTCATCCTCTATATCTTTATGTGATTTACAAATTGGACAGAATCTTTGGAACTCTACGGATATTTTTGTGCCAACCAGTTTAAATTAATAGGTTGTGTAAGGACAAACGAATTTTAGAAATACATCTCTTAAGCGTTTTTGGAATAGGCTTCACCAAGTAATACTGTAGACAGAAGTTACTAACCAAGTGTTTATAAATACTACATTTTGATTCTTTATCTATATCACATAATAAATTCTGTACAAAATTATCTTTCAATCTCTCTTGTATGACATGAAGACAAATACTTATAACAGTGAACCGTGAGCGCATAAATTCTGCGCAGTCGCTATTTTTGGAATATCAATCGCCGTCAATTGACTGTTGCTACGCTGGAGGGCGTGGCTTCATTATTCAGCGGGTAATAGTGTTCGTTAACAAATGTTTTTCGACCAATCAGATTCAATTAATTTACATGAAAGTATAATATTCACAACAATTACATTCTCTGTTCCAGAATGCTAGACTCACAAGTATACAAAGTAATTATTTATACTTTATCTTTATGTATACAGTGTTCCTCTTTGATGCCGTGACACATAAACAATTCCACAATGTTGTTATCCGTTCTTGATACATATAGTACTTTAGTTTTTTCTCCAATAAGAGATAAAGAAGTGACACTCTTAAATTAAACAATTTGTTTCGTTTTAAATATACCGTGGCGGCAAATAACATATAACAAAAAATAAAAAATAAAAAAAGACAGAAAAATCAAGTCCAAAACAATTTTTTTCTGAAACTGTGAATTTCACACCGTGATAATTTTCTGAACGCATCGTCAAAATAGCTATGAAGTTTGAATATTAAGAGTCTCTATGTACATGTATTTTATACGTTTCTTACTTATATAGGCAATGTTGAGTGAGACAGCGGGTAGATGCTCAGATACCATTGTAAGATACACTGCATAAGCAAGAAGAGTGGTAAGTGTATACCCTAGTCGTTCCCCGCTTTCAGGTGGAACTTTGAACGCAACCACAATCAAAATTCCCAGCATTATGGTGGGAACAAAAATGTGAAGTGCCTGAAAAGAGTAAAACCGTAGTCTTTTTTTTTTTTTACCTAGGAATTGAGAAACATAAACCATCAGTAGGATTTTTTTAAAACTTAAAAATCACTGATTTATGAATAATTTCCCTCGATTAAAATAATTATTTATAACAGATAAAGAGATAATGATAGAAAATTTCCAATGAAGTTTGTCTATTGAACCGCTATTTTGCTATGTTCGATCTATTTCATTTTACTTCATTTTCAAATTGTTCTTATTTTATATGAATTGGAAAATTTTGACGAATTGAGTATTTAATGAAGAAAGTTTATTTTCTTTCATTGATTTTACATACCATGTAAAGAGGGCGTCTCTTAAATTCTAATTCTATTGCAGCCATCGGTAAAATACGATGGCCTTTTTGGATAAACCGCTTATAAGCTGTATGGTCTGAAAATAAATCAAAATCATTTTTATATTTGATATATACGGATAAAATCCAGACGATATTCGAAAGTTCGAAAAATGCTAGTGTTTGTTTAAACCTTTACATGTATTGACTGAATTACTCATATAACATAATGTTGAAAATAATGCTGATTCCAAAGTAGATTTTAACCAGTTCTATTTCAAAATTAAAGAGGTTTAAAATTAATGTAAATCAAGATCAGCACGGACTACAGATTATCAATCATATAAAGACAATTATTTGAAAAGGACATTACTTCATTTTCAATTCATGGTTTGATCAGGATAAAATTGCAGAAGTGTTTTATTCTACCTGTGAATTCCCATTCACCATTTTCTTGAAAAAAGGAAAGATACACTGTCGGTTTCGTAAATTTAAACTCCAGCTCAGTATTAGCATAACCCCAAGCAGCTACATCGAAAGAGCAATACTGTGTGTCAAAGGGGTAGTATGTGGCATCCGTATTGCAATTCAGTTCCATCAAATCAAGAGACGAATATTCACATGTTCCGGTCTGGTCTATACGGATTGGGTTTTGATTATCTGGATCCATCAACATTTTGACTTCATCAACACTGTGACAAATATTGTGATTATCATTATTTTTGTAAATGAAATATAAGGAATATTTTATTGGAATACAATTAGTGCATTTCACTAGTGATTATAAAATAAATGAGTATGGCAAAAACAAAGTTTTCTGATATTGTTTTGAAATTATTTGAAAATTAAAGATTAAAGAAAAATGTTTTGATACACTCATGTAATGCTCTGCATAATGTAACATACCTGTTAAAAAGAACGAGGGGGGGATACCAGGTGTATTTCCCCGTACTGAATGTGTAATTGATGCTGTTGTAAGTAGGGTTTGAGGACCAATCAAGTCTACTATCTTCCCATTTCTTTATCAACAAAATTATGAAGAAAAACTTTAATTAAAGGCTTCTTAATGTCTACTGAGAAAGAAAAGGTATATAATTTTGTAAGGTATACGGTAATATATTACGAAAGTTTGCATGACCAACAGTGTCCAAATTTGAGTCTGAACACAGAATTGTTATAGCTTAAAAAATGTTCCTATACCAATCTATACGAAAAAATGTCCAACATATCTAATGTTTTACTGAGCGTCCATAAATAAATCGATGTTGGACCGCTGAGTGAGATGTTGGACCGGTCGATGAGATGTTGGACCGCTTACTTCACAGAATGGGCGGAGCTTAATCTCATTTTCTTTCGTTGGTGTTGAACAGTGACGAATCAGAGGTTATATCACGGAATACAGTTTAAAATACATGTATGTAGAAAAGAAATTAAAATAAAAGGTATAACAAAACATTTATTGATTGAGTTCTCGGGCAACATGCGTTTTGTCGACCCTTGAACCATGCTGTCTGCCTTCGGCCTAACGGCCTCAGGCAGACAGTTTGGTTCTTGGGTCCGACAAAACGCATGTTGCCCTCGAACTCAGTCAATAAATGTATATTATGACTTTAACGATCGATTTGATAATGTATTCCTTGCCTACTATATAATACGAATATTTGTAAGTTACAAACATTATTTGAACTGGGAAACTTCGTAAAATTAAAAATGAGCAGTTAAGATGCAGTATCCTTCATCTTTAGAATTTAAACAGGCCGAAATTTAAAAAAAAAACGGTAAAGATGAAAAGGCTTTTCTTTTACCTTTTATATCAAAGTTTTCAAAAACATAGAAGAAACTTTTTTTTCAAAATCTAAATCTAAATATGAATGTAAACTTAGTGATGATTGAAACATTTCATTGAAAACAATCAGATAAACTGCAGAATTTACAAGAGAAAAAACTTTGTAAGAATCGAATTGAAATCACATGACCTTTCCATGAAAAGTACCCTAAAAGAAAACGAAATACATGTCCGTAAAGACACATGCCATTGTCGTTTGTTGCTGTTTAATAAAGATTTAATCTAAACGTGACCTGGTCTTGTTACTGCTCGGTTACATTAAGAATCTGCTACTTGTATTGTGTATAAGGTTATTTACCCCTTATTTTTCTCGCCTTTTCATTTAGGCCAACATGTCTTCTACACAGTAATATTGCCTCCAATCATTATATATAAATTTTTGTTTGGCTAATGTAGATTGTTGATGATGTCCTTGATTGTTACATAGACCTAAATGTCTATGGTTGCAGTTGGTCCAACGTGTTATATGAGATCATTTTTGTAATATTATAAAGCAGAATATGTGCAAAATCTTATGGAAGAAAACACATGCTGTGGCCTTCAACTCGACATTTAGATATACCGACAACGTATTGTCAATTAACAATTGTAATTCCAATTCTTATGTCGATATATCCTGGTGAGCTTGAGATGAAAGATACCCAGAGTCTCACACATCTGTTTCATACTTGGATATATTACTTGAAAAAGACGTTAATTGTAATCTAACTACCAAGCTATATGATAGACTAATGACTTTGCCTTTTCTATCGTCAACTTCCCTTACCTATGCAGCAATATACCTTCATCACCTGCATTTGGAGTTTATATATCTCAGTTTATTCGATACGCAAGAGCATACTCTGTGTATGTACGATTTCTAAAACGAGTTGAATTATCAACGAACAACTAATGAAACAAAAATATCAGCAGTCTCCTTGAAAGTCATCATTTCGTTAGATTCTATGGCAGATTCAACGACCTTGTATGCAAATAAAATTTATCGAGACAAATGCTGACTGACGTTTTTCATATTGAATGTTAGTCAATTATTTATACTCTGAATTGACGATTTTCAGTTATTTTCCGATCATGACAAGGAGCACATGGTGGGTGTGACCGGTCGGCAGGGTATGCTCACTCCTCCATGGCACCTGATCCCACTTCTGATGTTTTAGAGGTCCGTGCTTGCTCTGCTACTATTTTGTATTGTTTTATGGACTATCGAGATTGAATACAGTTCGTTATTTTCATATACTGTAGAAGTAATTTAATTTATGCTATGTACGCGGTCACAAATTTTCCCCGGAAATTTGTCCAAGCGTACTAATATAAATGATAAGCACATAGTGCCAATCTGAGAAATCCGCGAAATTTTCAACCCGCGGATTAAAAGAAAATTGAGATTCCGCGAAATTAAGACTCCGTGAAAAAAGTACGTCTACAGTATTTCATCACAAGTACAGGTCGCTTAATTCTAGGAGAACACTGAAAATATTCAGGCTCAAAAATGGTGAGAAATGCTGGTTGAATTGCTATTGAATAATCACTTCGGTTTATAAAACATAGAGCAAAGAGGTAAATCCATAACACTGTTAAAGCCTACGTTGTTACAGTAAATGTATTAAATTGTATTTTCTGAAATCTAAAATAAACTGTGGATGTAATGAGCCACCTTAAATTAGTATATAAAATTTTGAGAAGATTCTAAATAAAATACTTGCAATGATGAAAAATCCAACAAGTTCAATGACACCCTTTGCTATGTCCTGAAAGAAGAAAATAAAATAGTAAACATTGATGGTTAATCGGAATCTGGCATTAAGAAAAAATGAACTAATAAAATTTTAAAATCTGCATGTTTCATGCCTTTTTCATGTTTAGTTTCTTATGAAAACATGAACAAACCCAGGATAAATGAAAATCTTCTTCTATATAAGAGAAAGGTGCTACGCTATTTAAAAATAATACTGTAAACCAACTTTTATTCGCGACGACTATATTTTGCCATTAACATTGTGTAAACTTGTTCGCGACGATAAATTTTCGCGATCAAGCCTTTTTGGGTCTTTTATTAACAGACACAGAGGCCTTAAGGGCCGGTTCGTGGCGAGAAATATTCGCGATGACGAGGCTCTCGCGAACCTCGCCAAAATTTCTCGCACGCGAAGAAAAGTTGGTTTACAGTATACATATACTGCGTTTTCAAATATGGAACGCGTTTCATGAAAATTCACAGAAAGTTCACCCTCCCTAATAGTTGGGCCTTAAGGATTATCATCAGGGTACAATAAATGTGTTAGAATTTCAGAGACAAGAAAACCCCTATAGCACTGAATCTTGCTAAAGAGAAACTTGTGTTATTTACCAGGTCTCGGAGGATCATCGGGCTGAAGCTGATTGAAACATTGACTGTATCTGTCGGTCTTGTTAAACTGTCGTAGGAGTTCGTCGTCCATAGCAGCGTTCTAAGATTCGTCTCAAGTGTTGTCGAAGCATTCACCGTACCTGGTAAAAACACACGTAGTTGAATGTGTATAATGTCGAGGAATTCTTAGCTTTTGCTTATCCTATAATGAATGAACATTTTTTACAACGACTTTATGTATCTTTGTGATTGATTGATTGTGTATAATTTTTATTCACCATTGCCGGTTGCAAATTTAACAATGCCACACAATGATTTGTATATTTTTTTCATTATTTAACAATACAATGATTTGTTTAATTGCAAATAGCAAGTGTTGTGTCTTTTTTCATTCTAAATAAAGTATCAAATGTTCCGTTTAACTGATCATGAGAAATAAATAGGTGTGGAAGGAGGAAACAGGTTGCTTTCTCCTCTAGAAAACCCAACAACGACTTTAGATTTTCGGGGGATCTCTATTTAAAATCTTGATAATAGATTTGTAATATGTTTATATTTTTAAAAAGACCTATCATTGTTGTTATCTTCAAATTCTCATTACTCTTTAATTCTAGTTTTATAACAATTTAAAATGTAGATTGTCAGATCTTGCGAATTTGTTGTTTTTATTCAACATCAATGGAATATAGCTTTGTTCTTTTAAAAATAAAATAGTTACACAAATGTTGTTTCACCGGAAGGTACATGCATTAACTTATTGTGAAAATGTTCAAAATTGATCGCTGTCACCATGATTATTCGTAAAATGTTTCGTCGGAGCTTTCAGGTTATATTCTGTCATTATTCTTGTTGAAAAAAACAGGATGAACTACTGTAAATATAAAAAAAATCATTACTGTTTAAAATGTATTACTTAAAAGCATTTCAATTTATTTTATTGATGAATAGATTAAATCAAATTTTTTTATTGATGAATACATTAAATAAAATTTGGAAAGGGAATCAAACATTTATTAAGAGGTTGATAATGCAAATTTTAACCATTATTTTATATAAGCTGTCTATATTTGATTACAAAGCGATAATTACCTGAATTCAGTCTCATGATATTTATCATTCAACATTGAAGGTAATCTCACGTAAAAGTTTTCTAGAAGTAATTATGATTATAACTTTAACTAATGTCGCGTCACATTTTTAACAAGGCAGTATTTGGATTTTTTGGGCTTTAGTCCGCAGTTCATCGGCCGTTGTCTTACCCGATTTCAACCTCTTTGGTCGACCATTATTATATCAGTTCAGCTAACATATTTTTTTCTGCATCGGTGGGCAATTCCTTTCCATTAGAATCAGTCGTTAAAATATTCGACAACCAACCTTCGATCATCGTCTGACCATCCGATGACAGTTTTTAAAATTGGTTGTCGGTAGGTCGATTTGGATTTTCGTAAATTTTTTAAAATGATTTTTTGATAGTACCTCGATCTTCTCCAAGCAGAAAATGTTTGCATGTGTGCCCCCCCCCCTTCTAAAAAAAACTCAACTGAAATTTGCTTTCAACATGTCTGTAGTTAGCATCAGACTTTTAACATGTACAGCTCAACAAACTTTTTAAGCTCACATGGTTTTTCGCACAAATTAAGGTCACATTGTTGTAATAAAAATTACCACTTTGGAACTGCAGTACAATGGCATAACCCTTCGTTATATTACATATATAATGTCAAGCATAAATGTCTTTTAAAATCAGTATCTTAAGTTTCCAAAGTGGATGTTTAAAGGAAAATTTATAAATAAATGGTAGGATGTTTCGACTATATGATTCTACCATATGTTTTTACAAATTGTATAAAACGAGCTTTCCTTGATCCCATGTATTTGAAATATTTAAAGAACTATATGCGGTATATTGCATATGTTTGCCCCCACAAAAGTCAAATTTTGAAAACTTCCTGAAATGTCCTGAATTCAATAAATTGTACGAGAAATATAAGTTAACAGAAAATATTATAGTTCCAGAGCAGTGTATTCACAATTTCTGTTTTTATGACGTCACAAACTAGTCCGATTTTATATCCTTTTTCAGAAAGAGGACAAAATGGACAAAATTTCAACAATTTAAGCTTTAGAATTTATAGAGCGCATGTGTGTTCAGGAACAATATTGACATATTTCATTGATATTATCATTCTACACATTATATCAAAATATTAATCCTGAACACACATGCGCTCGGTGACTTTTATTTAAAATATCGACGAAATATGTACATTTTTCTGCAAAATTCATAAAAAACTGAAATTTACGTCATGTTTGTGACGTCATTACGTACATATGACGTCATTACTTATGAAATTATTCAGTGCTTTGAAGTCAGCATATACATGTACTAACCTGTTTAAGGACTTAATTAAATATTACTCCATCAAAGTTTGATTTTGGGGGACAAATGTTGGTTAATACCGCATATAGTTCTTTTCTTCTTAAAGGTGAGTTTTTAAAAAAAATATTTGCTCATTTACCATACTCATCTTTGTTTCGTCGAAATGTAGTGCCGAAAAGGCGATAATATTGCAGAAGGAAACCACACTAAAAGGTAGGATAATGAAGTATTGTTTATTTTTTTGAATAGTAAATTCCTTTTATGAAAAGGAAAATTCTTCTGCATTTACGGTTTGAAACGTTAAAATTTTGCAGTAGGATGAATCTTTCATGATTCTTGATTTTAGAAGTTGACTCTTAAAAATCCCACCTTATTAACATAGAAAGCAGTCAAAAAGATAAAAAATACTATTACACCCCGAGTTAAAGAGTCAAAATGTACAGAAAATACAAGTTACAGTAGCTGTACTGTACCCATGTCTACGTTTCTGCCAAGAGCTATTGCTTTCAAAAGAACGGATAAAAAGACAGTTACAATTGGTAAGAAACTTTGAAAATTCAAATGAGATTAGTTATTATTTTCAGCCATGAATATATCAAAGTTCTACCAATTGATTCGTGTGTTTTATTTTTCAGTAAATGAAATAAAACTTAAATTATGTAAACAAAATACTTTTAATATGTATTTTGTTGTCTCGATACACAATATAATATCATATCAATGTTACTTTAATTTGTGCGAAAAACCATGTGAGCTTAAAAAGTTTGTTGAGCTGTATATTTCCATTTCTAATTTTTTTTCTCTGTGATAACTGTTTGAAAGTTCGGGGAATTCATTTCTTGATAATTCTGCCGGAATGTAAATTAGGCAGGTCGATAGGTCAGCAGCTAAGGAGGCCTAATATGCATGCAAATCTCGTGCTCATCTGTCTCTGTGTCTGACGCTAAGGAGTCCAAATATGCATGTAAATCTCGTGCGGCTGCCTTTGTTTTTGACGTCAGTGTGCGAGGACTATTGAAATTGGCATGGAAGTCCTCGTGTAATTTAAATCTATTAGTCTACTTTTTTAATGTATAAGTCTACAATTTTATATCACAATGAAATGGAAATATAAGGAATCACTGTCTAGTTTTGAGAGTATGCGACATCAACAATAGTGGGAAACATGGAATAATTTGAGCATAACGGGCGAAGCCCGTTATGCAAATTATCCCAAGTTTCCCACTGTTGTTGATGCCCTGGCATACTCTCAAAACTAGACAGTGATTTCTTAAATATACATAATTATATGGAATATTCTTTGTATTGTGTAAGTTCTTTATGTGAATTAGGTGCTACTAATCTTTATATTTTCAAACTGTCGCATATATTTTCACTAAATGCACTGAAAAATGTTACAGTGCATCCATTACTTTTTTTCTTTATCTTGCATATTGAGTTATTCAGGTTTAATTAACATTTTTTACCCAACTGTTCAAGTCATATGGAGATTTTGTTCATTTATGTAAAACCATAATTCTCATTGGTGAAGAAATAATCATATTTCCCCTATTCTGATGCCATTAACATCATTCTGTCAGACCTTCTTACCTTGGAAATAAATAGATACGATCCATATATTCACAATTATTATCAAACTTCTTGTGTCCATTACTGCATGGGGCTAAACTATCTAATACACATCAAAAAAAAGTTCACCTAAATGTTATAACCTTTTCTTAAATACCGTTGAAGTACATTTCTTTGTTAGGATTAATTAATTACCACTTTGATTTTAATGCACATTTTGTAACCTCTTTCCATATATGTACTCAGTTAATATGGTCTGAAACATTTAAACGAATTAATTAACTTGTGAATACCGAACCACGTTACCCTATTTAGATTCATTTGTACATTTGTAATTTGCATAACGGGCATCAACAATAGTGCGAAACATGTTTCCCACTATTGTTGATGTTCCTGGCATACTCTCCTAACTAGACAGTGATTCCTTATATTTCCATTTCATTGTGAAATAAAATCGTAAATTTAGACATTAAAAATGTAGACTAATAGAATTAAATAACACGAGAACTCATGCCAATTTCAAAAGTCCTCGCACACTAACGTTAAACTCAAAAGCAACCGCAAGAGATTTACATGCATATTTGGACTCCTTAGCGCCAGACACAGAGACAGATGCGCACGAAATTTGCATGCGTATTAGGCCTCCTTAGCTGCTGACCTATCGACCTACCAATTTAGATTCCGTCAGAAGTATCAAGAAATGAATTCCCCGAACTTTCAAACAGCTATCACAGAGAAAAAAAATTGGAAATGGAGATATTGAATCATTATTACAGTGTATGTTTTTTCAAACTTCCCAAACAGCACCCTCTTCTTGCAAGAGAGGGTGCTGTTTGGGAAGTTTGTAATAAACATACACTGTAATTATGATTTAATAAATGTAGTATCATGAGTGTTTTCATGTACTTTTATTTTTTATGATTAACTTTTCAAACTAAGGCAAGCAACTGACACATAAAATTGTTTTATGGGGATTTCAATCATAATCCTTATAACGAAATGTACTTTAACGGTATTTAAGAAAAGGTTGTAACATCTAGTTGAACTTTTTCGAAGTTAATATTGGATAGTACGACCCCATGCAGTTATGGACATAAGAAATATGTTGATAATTGTGAATATGTGGTTTATATCGATATAATTCTAAGGTAAGAACGTATAACAGATTTATGATAACGACATCAAAGAGGGATATGATGATTTCTCACGCATGAGAATTATGATTTTAAGGAGCAAACATAACGAG